TGACTATCACCAATTAATTGGACTAAAAATAGTCTGTTGTTCTAGGCTTTGCTAATAGTTTTGAGATTTTTCAGAAATGAATGTAAGTACATAAGAATACTTACAAGAACGTTAGATTAGTGCACGTTTCTGTAAATTTATTTTTAAAATAATGTATTACAAGGTGGCCAAGATAAGGAACATACTAGGTTAATTCAGTAATCTCACATCAAGCATTTGTTTGCAACTCCTACTTAAATAAAAAAAAATATAAAAAACACGTTTGTTTAAAACTAAAAAAAAACAAGTGTAACGTAACAATTCTTTGAAGTCGTAGAAAAAGTGCTATTAGATACAGAGTCGTCCTTTTTTTAAATGTTGTGCACGTCGGGCGCAAGATTTAAAAATACCGTCATGTAGTGCCATTAGTTTGTTGACATTTCTTAAAATGAAGTCAGACAAAATAAAAACGATTTGGCCAAATTTTAGTTTTGTTTAGTCAGTATATGACTAATTTCTCAGTGTATGCAATGTGCGCAATTTATTTAAAAAACCTAGGATGTCAACCCTAACACACAAGTAGAGTATGCAAGGCTCACCTAGTTTGATGCACATGTATCCCTCAGAAGAGTTGGAAGTAGACCAATTTCCACTTTGGAGACACTTGACACCACCCACGTCACAACACTAAAACACCACTGAGGGACAATCGAGAACCCCATAGTGAACACCACTACTAAAAAAAAGTAGATAAACAGAATGGAGCTCTGCACCGAGCTGCGACGCTAGACATTCGCTGCGCCGACGGTTGCCGAGAGACTGAAGCGGTGACTGCTGTACGTCGCTGCGGCGATACGGTACGGCCGGGTAGTACAGCCACGCCCCTTTCCAGCTCCCACTCTGCGCGTCTGATACCGGTCAACGTAAACATCAGGCCCAACGAGGTACAACTCGGACGCTTCAGTCTATCTGCAACCGTTGGCGCAGCGGAATGACCACGCGTTCGCAGCTCGGTGCAGAGCTCCATTCTGTTTATCTACTTTTTTTAGTAGTGGTGTTCACTATGGGGTTCTCGATTGTCCCTCAGTGGTGTTTTAGTGTTGTGACGTGGGTGTCAAGTGTCTCCAAAGTGGAAATTAGGTCTACTTCCAACTCTTCTGAGGGATACATGTGCATCAAACTAGGTGAGCCTTGCATACTCTACTTGTGTGTTAGGGTTGACATCCTAGGTTTTTTAAATAAATTGCGCACATTGCATACACTGAGAAATTAGTCATATACTGACTAAACAAAACTAAAATTTGGCCAAATCGTTTTTATTTTAGTCTGACTTCATTTTAAGAAATGTCAACAAACTAATGGCACTACATGACGGTATTTTTAAATCTTGCGCCCGACGTGCACAACATTTAAAAAAAGGACGACTCTGTATCTAATAGCACTTTTTCTACGACTTCAAAGAATTGTTACGTTACACTTGTTTTTTTTTTAGTTTTAAACAAACGTGTTTTTTTATATTTTTTTATTTTATTTAAGTAGGAGTTGCAAACAAATGCTTGATGTGAGATTACTGAATTTAACCTAGTATGTTCCTTATCTTGGCCACTTGTAATACATTATTTAAAAATAAATTTACAGAAACGTGCACTAATCTAACGTTCTTGTAAGTATTCTTATGTACTTACATTCATTTCTGAAAAATCTCAAAACTATTAGCAAAGCCTAGAACAACAGACTATTTTTAGTCCAATTAATTGGTGATAGTCAATAATTGACAGTATTTCACATCGTGCTTTGACACTAAGCCCTTGGCACTATGTTTACTAATATTGTGCAAAAAATCAAGCGTTGATTCTTTGACGTTTCCAAACCTGTAATCTCATCCCCGTGTTTACAATGTCTTACCTCGGTTGTTGGAGGATACGTGGGCACCAATGTCCAACAACAGTAGTGATATGATATGCATCAAAATGCTGATTCCGTCTGCCTATAATTCCAAATGATCGATAAGCTGGATCCAAGTTCACATCCTTCAGCTATCCATTTTTAGCTTCCTCAAAATGGATACGTTATATCTCTAAAACGTATGTCTATCCCGGCGAACGAGGAAGTCAGTTAGTACGTCAAAGCGGTAGTTTTCCAATCTTCATTTGCGGTGTGCAACGATTTCGAGGAAACTTCCTAGGGATAGTCTAGTCTATATTTCAATAGTTGTCGTGTGTGGCCATGTTATCTTACATGGGCCAAAATTTTGCTACGGATAGTCTTCTAGTCTAGTAGAGTATATTTCAATACTTGTCTGCGTGTTCATGTTATCTCGGGCCGATAAGGATTATCTCTCTCGAGTTTATAGTTTTTTTAAAGATTTTTTTAAAATCCGATCAACTTAATGGTGCACTCGGTATTTGATTTCTGTGACGGCGGTTATTTGAATGAAAATGGCAGATCGGAATACTTGTTTTGTTAAGAATCGTGTCCAACCGCATCTCGTTGATCTTTGATTCTGATTACTAACCTTACTTTTTACTGAAACGTAACCTCACTTTTTGTTACGAGGGGTGTGGGGAAAAAGGGTTCTTAAAAACTGATTAAGCTATTTTATAGATTCAGCATGACTTTTAAAATACCACTACATCGTGTATCAAAATTGTTTCAACCCATAATAAACATTTCAAAAACATCAAATCTACCAATGCAAGATGTTACCTCAAAAAGTCAAAAGGTAAGTTAGCATCCCTTGGAGAATATCTTCGAATATATAGTAAATTTGTTATAATCAACAAACTATACTGCTTAGCTTTGGTAAGTGGTATACTCAGAGAAATTTCAATGCCCATATTATTTTCAGCTAATGCTAGAATTGGGTATCATTCATCAAGCGACCCCAGGATGTTTTCATTTTTTTGCCATTGGGGCTTAAAGCCTTGGATAAGCTTATAAAAATAGTAGACAGCGAGATGCAAACAATAGGTGGACAAAAGATGCTTTTCTCTGAACTCACTAACAGTCGACTTTGGAAAATGAGTGGTAAGTATCAATTGAAATAATCAAAAAATGAACTTTCGGTCAGGTACTTCTATATTCATCATTGTGTATCAGAGGGCCAGTGAACTTTTACTTCTTGTTCAAAGGCTGTTAATCTGTCAGGTCTGTTTATCTATCTTTGATAATCTTTAAGGACAGGCCCTGATAAGACATAGCTAAAATCACTGACCTTGACAAATTTTGCCTCAAATTCTTTTTAAACTACAATAATTTTTATTGGTCCAAATTTTTAATATTCATATAGCTAAATCTTGTCACTTGAACCTAATTTTGAACTTCTGCATAATAATGAGTAGACCTACCGAACTGTAATTCGAAATTTGGATTTATAGCTGCAGTGATATTTGTCTGTCATCATTTTGTCAACTTAGTATAGAAGAAATGCACATAGTGCAAACTGGTTCAACATTATTCTTTTTTATTGTTTTCTTTCTAAGGTAGGCTGAAAGATGCAGGTCCAGAACTGTTCACGCTGAAAGATCGACATAACCATCACTATATCTTAAGTCCTGTAGGTAAATGACAATATATTTCATCATCATGCTTCAATACAAGCACAAATAATTACAGACCTATGAAGAAGTTGCTAGTGATCTGCTATCACTAAATCCTCCAATCTCTTACAAGCATTTTCCTTTGAAAGTATATCAAATTTCAAGTAAGTTCAGAGATGAAATGAAACCGAGATATGGACTGATGAGAGGTAGAGAATTTTTGATGAAAGATATGTACAGTTTTGACATTGATGAAACTAGCGCAAAGGATACATACAATGAGATTTGTACTAGCTATGATAAGATATTCGATAGGATAGGAATTGACTATGTAAAAGGTTAGTAGATATATCATTCACAGCCTGATTCACTGTACAAATCTTTAGATGTACCTATTATAAATTTGCCTATTCTCAATACTTTAGTCTTATTTCTCTTACAATATAGATACTTCACAACTATACCCTATTTCACGAGTATCCATCACGCTTTGACGTTTACTGAGGTGAACAGCTGATCAGCAAGTGATACTTTCGTGTTACTCTGCAATGTTGGCAATAATGAATCAGGGAATAAATCTAGCAAAACTTATTTGTGGTTTTTTGTATGCAAATTAACTTTTCTAAATAAAACAGCTGTTATCAAGCACAAAATGAATCTGTAGCCTACAAAAAACCAAAACAAAATACGGCTCTGACTACCTGGCGTTGACGGATCCGTCAAAATTATGTGTCCTGTGCCAATATGGGGAATTTTGAAAATATTACTAGCTAATCTGCTGTCATTCTACCGTGATAGATACTACAGTATATTCAGATAAGAGATAGACCGGATGTAAACAAAAGGTTCGGGTGATTTTCACGCTAACGCCGCCGTCTCGACGTAAAACAGGAGCCCTCATTCGTCAATTCGCAATTAAATGCCTATGCCGAGCGGCAGAGCAGTCGTATCAAGGCGGAGTCACATTCAGGTTCAGACGTGTTACGTATGTCGTGTGCATCATTGCAATTTGATATTTCTTTGGACGTTTTCGTTTGTTATCTTATTAAGTTGTTGAGTTTGTCGTTGTTATTGTTATACTTTGTTATAATTATAGGCTAATTTAAACGCCATTTTGAGATTATATTCGACTGTATTTCACCAAACATCAGACGGCATCCGAAGCTGGAAATCGAAGCGAAAATTTTGAAACCCTTATGTATATTTACATCATTATATATTTCTTACCCCACCCCCACATGATCCTATATCCATCACCAATCGTATACACATCGAATTGTGCTAATTTACTACAAAGTTACGCAAAGCAGCATCTACTATCTAAAATATGTACTGCGTGACTCTTAATACGTCCCTGCCGAATGTTACAGCGTTCGATGATCACGTGGTCTTGTTTATGTCCGGTCTATCTCTTATCTGAATATACTGTAAATAGGGTAATACAACTTGTCTTAAGCAGGGCTGTCAGTTTTCCTCAAAAGCAAAATATACTTGTAACTGAAGCTCGTGTGTGACATCATAGACACTTCTTGTTGACTTTTTTTTTAATTATTCTATAAAATGGCGGTTTGCAATGTTGATTTTGCAGTTTTAGGCGATTCAGGAAGCATTGGTGGAAATCTGTCACATGAATACCAATTCAAAGCACCTATAGGAGAAGACTGTATCATCACTTGTAATAAATGTAATTTTTCTGCTAACTCTGAGGTTTGCCATGAAAAGAAATGCCCAAACTGTGGTGAGCAAGAGAATGTGTTAGTCCAAACTGGTATAGAAGTAAGAAACTTTTTTACTTCTATACATTTGTATTTTATTATATTATATATATTATATTAATTATAATAATATTTATTCCAACAGGATATACCCAATCACAGGAACAATACAATAATTAGAATATGATGTTGTGTTCTTTTAGGTAGGTCATACATTCTTACTAGGTGACAAGTATTCTAAACCTCTGAAAGCATTTTATTTGGGCAAAAATGCAAAGCCACAGGTTTTGCAAATGGGCAGCTATGGTTTAGGACTCAGCAGAATTTTAGCTGCTTGTGTAGAATTACTGTCAACTGAGACCGATATAGCTTGGCCTGATGTGTTAGCACCTTATAATGTTGCTGTCATCCCTCCAAAGGTAAATTTATATTATGAAGTGGATAACCAACTGTTCATGTATTCTGATAAAAAAATATACCTTCTCCATTACAAATTGGAACCAGTGTAGGGATATTCGATACGATTCGATATTTAGAAGTATGGATACTTTTGCTTCCGATACCCGATATTTTTGTGTATCAATACATTTCACGAGTATCGTTATCTTTCGATCCGGACTGTGTCAGAAAGAGTGATTAACATCAGATTACTTTTCTTGTTTCCTTCCGCTGCTTCCCCAAAAATCAGGGAATTTTTATTTCATTGGGGAAGATTTTGGGTATATTTTTTATTATAAAGTTTCGATACTTGAGGTAACGATATTTTTATTCCGCTATTTTAGTGTATCGATACTTACTAAAACGATAAGTATCGATACTTTGGAACATCTCTAAACCAGTGTTGTAAGAACTATGCTTTGTGGGTAGATCTGATAAATTGCTCTTCTGGCCTAGATACAGTTAGTTGTATAGTTCTTTTCGAAAATGTGACTATAAAATCGTCAAGCCGGTCCGTGCAAATATAAGCTTGTAGGTCAAACAGTGCAAAAGTAGATGGGAAAGACACATTTGATAGAAATGTAACCTATTTTTCCCGAATTCATCACGTTGCGACATCTATTGGCGTGAAATGCTGATCAGCAATTGACATCTTCTCTTCATAACCTTAGAGATGACCTCCGACCTAACTAGCGCCATCTACTTCTTTTGTTTATTTTAAACCCGACAAATGCAGCAACAAAAATAATCATTCGATATTTTTAGGCGGGAAGCAAAGAAGAGCAAGTTACAAAAGATGTTCCTGAAAATCTATATAAACTTCTCGAGGATAGTATACCACAGCTTAAAGATAACGTATTGTTAGACGACCGGCTGTCATTGACAATTGGCAGGCGATATTTAGATGCAAAAAGGACAGGTTACCGTTATATAGTGGTTATAAATGAAAAAAGTAGTGGTGAAAAACCAACGTTTGAAATGAACGATACTAAAGAGACTGACAGGTTATACTTAAGTCAAGAGGAACTGATTGAATACGTTAAGCAAAATACGAAGTTTTAATCAATAAAGAGTTAAAACAATTATAGGAGTCGTATTATTGGGGGGAAAGTGAAACAACCTTATCTTGCATTCTCGTATATTTATTTAAGGGAGAGGGTAATAGCAGATGTAGACATTTCAGATGGAGCGGTTAATATGGCTAATAAGGTTCCATGATTTTCGATGTATTCTCTCCACATCTTGCATTGACGTTTTCTGTTTTCTTTTGTTTCCTTGGTCTCTTGGAATTGACAACGTTTTTCTGGCAATGTCTCACAAATTGTCTCCCTACAAAAAGAGAGGCCTTGGTACTACGAGATATAAAATTCTAGAATAAGTTTTTTATGATTTTCTGTACCACGCGGTGATACAGCCTCAGTCCACGGAGAACCACCTAGAGTTAGTTATAGCAAAAACGGAGGATATGATTTTATTTCTTACAGGAATAAAACTCCAAACTTACTGGAATACTTTTCTCTTCGGAATTAAGAACTCTGGGATTGGTTTCATAATTGAATCTCGTCTAGTTGTAGATAACTCTCTCGGCTTTAGTGTAGCGTCAAAATACTTGCGAGGTATCCCAAGTATTCCCACTGGAACCCCCAATGGTTCTAGTAACTCTTCTGGTGCAGCATATGCGATTTCTAGATAGTTCTGTCGATTGTCATATCTGCGAAAAGGGTAAAGTGGTAATCATTATCACAATCTACCTGACTCCATTTATTGATCCTATGGGCCGTATCGTCAGTCGTTTTTACAATAAATTGTAGGACACCTTCAGGGCCTCCTTGATTTTCATGGTTATTCCTAAGCTCTATTTTGAGGTTATGTTACAAATATCTATTTGCATCAAATTCATGCTTTTGATTTGACATTTCCTACAATTCAAAAAGAAAACAATTTTACAATAGCAGAGCGTTGACGCCTTTCACGTGCCAATAGACGTCTAGAAATATTCCAGCCTTTCTGAAGGAGAGAAAATACTTCGAAAATCAAGGAGGCCATAAAGGCGTCCACAATTATTGTAGGAACATTCGACCCTAAGATCCAGCCGTGTGCTACGCGCGTGATTTAGGTTGTTGGGGCGTTAGAGAGGGTGGTCGCATTCAGATTGTTCATTCTAAAAAAGAACTCACTGTCCCATATCTGCTACACCGATCGCCAGCATTCTGTAATCGTGCTGGTCCAAGATCAGTTCCTGGATGACAGGAGATCTCTGGTACAGCTTACATTCTGTGGCACACACCTTTCCCAACAGTATTCTTTCCTCTTCAGGAGTAGCTACATAGGCTATATTTTGATGTCGCATTATCGGATTGAAGTTATCTGTTCTAAGCATTCTATTGAGTTCTTTCTCTGGAATTTAGTATACGTTTATCACTCATGTATACAGGGGATGCTTAAAAATGGAAATACTACTGCAGAAAATGAACCTAAAAAATTCAACAATAAGTCTCTATGGACATAGATCCTAAACTATCTCTGAAGCAACTATAAAATAATAATAAAGCTTTTGTCAGTACGGCCAACTGTTGACAGCAAAATAAAATGTTTTCAATTGCTTTTTTAAGGATGTTACAGATATCCAATAGTGACAACAAAAGAAGAAAAATGATTACGTTTTCAACCAGATGACATGGTGTTTTGATGCAAAAGTTTTGCTCCTTTGATTTCTTTCAAATTTTTACCAATCGGTACTCAGAAACCGTATAATGGGCGGGTCTAGAAATTGTTCTCAAAGGGGGACCTAGCAAATTGTCGGTCAAGAGAAACAGAATAGAACAATGAATCGATCTGCCGTCGTGTTATTAGGGGTACACTGAGGTATAAAAAACGTAAAAACATTACCCTTATCATTAGCAATCCCAAAAATGCGGTTGATTTTCCAAAACACGGCAAAACGTAACTTTTTTTTCTAAATCAACACAAATGATCGCATAGAGATTCTAAAAACAGGATTTTAAAGCTAAAAACAAGCTATAAAGGATCTTCCAGACCAAAGTGGCAAGGCGATAGCGATAATCGCAGTGCGGTGGGGTGGTGACCCACCGTTTATCGCGTTTCATTTCCGAAACGAGGTTCGTATCGCATATCGCCACGTTTTTCACAATGTCCACAACGGAGAAGTTAATTGAACAAGTTAAGAAGTACCCATTATTGTTCGATTTAAGTCACGAGAACTATAAAAATTTTCAGGAAAAAGGATAAAGTGTGGGATCAAATTGGAACTGAATTAAAACGTGCCTAAATTAAATGCTAAGGCCAATAATAATAATAGTTCTTCATCAGAAGACATGTGGTATAAGAAATGTGGGGGAACCGTAAACGGGCTATCTATTCCATATGATGGCCTAACGGGAAAAAATTACGAGCCCGTGAACTAAAGAGAAGAAAGCAAGAGTTTTGTAAAAATTTTTTTTGCACTATCTGTTAGAATTGCATGCGAACCGTTGCTTGCGTCTAGATACGACCATTCTTCACCGAAACACAACCTGCTAAAAATTACTGAAAAATTTGGATTTTTTCTTGCACCTCAATGTTTTTGCTAGTAGATATAGTGCCTGCTTACAGTTTTTTTTGTACTGACGCCTAATTATATTCAATTGTTGCAATAGATTACGTGTAATTGTCGTATACAATCCTATCAATTGAAGGAATTTTGAATTCGAAAACTGGAAAATTAATGTTGTGCAATTCACCTATCAAACTGAGATACTTCCTTGTCAAAGCAACGTACACCACTCTTTCTGACATAACGACGAATGTCTCAAAGATCCTTCTGTCCTTGTCGCTCAGAGAAACGTTGTTCCTGTTGTTCATATGATGGAACTGCTTTGCGTCTCCAATGCCCAGCGTCAACACAGCATAGTTTCTGGCTACTATCGCTCGAAGATCTGAAAGATCGTCTCTAATTTCGTCCTCTAAGGTGTTAACCACTGGTTGCCGCAGCTTGCGAGCGCCCTCTGCACGTCTTGCTTGGAGTTTGTTCCATATCTAGATTTAGGTCTGAATACACACGGAGTTCTTACAGTTGGAACTTACGTTTACACAGCGCCAGTGTATAGTAGAAGATAAGAGTTGTCACCATCGTTTTTATGGTGACAAACCTTGATTTGTACTTTGAAAGCAGGCCACCACAGTGGCTGGAATGTTAGTAATAAGTTAATCCTGCTTGTGTGATTTCATTTGATGGCCAAAAGACATGGAATGTTATTAGCTTTTGAAAGTATGTCCCCGACAAAGAATTAGGTGGAAAGATACATGTATCAGTTTCCTACCCAGACGACACACGCTGTGTAGGTAAGTATAACTGTTTGTTTATAAACCAGATTTGAAGATACCGAAAGTGGCAGGTTTCTATAATAACGAGCTTGATGATGCGACGCTAGTTCACGGTGAGTGTTTTAAAAATGCTGATGTGTATGCAATCATTTTCCTGGACATTTGCATCCAGCACCGCGTAGAATTATTTATCTTGTACAAAAACCAAATGGATCTAGTAGACGACCTAGACACTTCCCGGAGTTGCTAGTTGGGGAAGAAGTGCTTTATCTATCGGGCGTTAACTTTGAAAGGTATTCATGAATTATTATAAGCAACGTGACTGGACAGTACAATTTCTTCACAAATATTTATTACTTTAAACGTAGTTGCTTCTGAAATGTCTCACATTTGAAAACACCCTGTTTATTATAATTATTTATCAGTATGATGCAAAATGAGTGATTTCGCATATGTATTTCAGCTCTTTTTAGACTATAAAAATGGGAAAAATTTGGAGTTGATAAAAAAGTACCTACGTTTTTAGCAAATTTATTTACATATTTATGAAACAATGAAATACGAGTAAGGAGAATGTTGCAAAATTACATAACTATTAAATTAAAGAAATTTTTTTAAGAATGCATTTGATTTTTACCTTAGTAATGAGGGGTGTTTGTAACATATCTTGGACAACAATGTCAAATTTCACTTTATACAGTAAACTGAAGCGTTTTCACACAGATATTGTCAAAAGCAATTGTTTAACCTGGAAATAAAACTGGAAATAGACTATCAGAGATCGCAGATAGTTATCCATGGCTTTGGTGTGAAAGTAGCTGATGAACTCCAAACTCAAATGAGAGACGGTGTAAGTATAGATTGCCACATCTTTAATGTCCTGCAGGGTGACAACATCTTTTTCATTCAGCTTGACTTTCCTTTGGTAGAACTTTCGGAAGTTCAGCTGCAACAATGAAACTAAAGTGAAATTTCAGAATTGTTTTGTGGGTATTTTCAGCCAGTAGGGATTTTTTTAGTAGTAGATATTCATATCTATAATAAGTAAAATCTATAATACCTGAGACATCTGCCCAAGAGTCTCTTTGAAATTTGATACTGGAGCAGGAGTCTGTGATGAAACACCCAAAGTACCACTAGTTTGTAAATGCAGGACATCTTTGAGATCCCTAAGGAAAAATAATTAATACTTTTTTTGCCTAACCCAATTGATGTAACCACAAAGAAAAACGGAAAAATATTATGCCATTTTTTAGATGTTACACAACATGGCACTCATTTGTATTGGTCTTACACTTGAGTGAAGATTTTCAGTCAATTGAATTCCATTAGAATCTATTGAGTAGATGCGACCTAGACTTTTAATATTTTGAAAATAATATCAGAAGTCTAAGGCTAAGAACTATAGAATCAATCTGAGTGATGCCATTTTCACAAATGAGACCTGGTATTTCTATGCTATGCAGTTTGATTCAGCCAGAGGGATAATAGAGTTTGATCTTCGTCCAAGTAATAAATGAAATGTATTAATTAAGACCTTATCTCTAGATAAAGACTTCAAACTTACCTTGCATATACCAGACCATTTGTATGGTCATCCCATATCCAAACTCCATTATGGTAAGAACTCCTTCTTTCTCCTGCCATTGAAAAAATCCATCCCCTTTGAAGTATCTTGTCACTGTGACAGGTACTCCAACAATCTTGCATTCCTCTCCACCACATACAATTTCACAAGATATGATGAGAATATCACAATGAGACTCCATATCTTCCCACAGCTACAAAGGGCTAAAAAAATTACAGTGGACCTCCGGTAATCCGACAAACATTATGCAGGACAATGTTGGACTATCGAATTTGTCGAATTATAGAGCACTGCCTAAGACCCCCTACAGTCGGGAATGTTTTACAAAAGAGTACCTTGTAATCCGACAAACTACATATCCAATGGTAAGGTTATATATGTTATGTATATGTATGTACTTTGAAGTACAAATCATACATAGTTTATGTATACGTATGTTGAATTTAGTAAATTAAATAACAATAGAGAGCTTACGTTTTATTATAAAATTAAGCATAAATGCACATACATATGTACCAAAATAATCAAGAATTATTAATCAAAATCATTAATGAATTTATCAAACTATGAAGCTTGGAAATATTCATAATTTTTTTTGTTTGTTTAAGTTTGTTATAAGGCGAGATCAGAGCTTTGTCCCTCAGTCTTCTCAAAAGTAAACGTTCTTTGTAGGATGTACCATTCTCTTCAGCCCATTGTAAACCTAGCTCAAAGGCGTTAATTGCGTCTTGTGACTTGTGGAGCAGTTGCAATCACGTCGTCGTTATTTTCCTGATTGTTTGTTGTATAATTAGAAACCTCTTATAATCTCTTCGTCAGATATTTCATGAAAAACATTTTCCTCTTTATCCATTCCACGGCACTTATCTGTGTTTCAGTAGCGACTTGTTCTATAACTTCCGAAGTGAAACTGATTTGTGGAATGTTGCTAGGAGTATATCTGGCCAAAACTTTTTCCAAGACGATTTAATAGTTGATGACGGTAACGCATTCCACGACTGACAAAGAGCAAAAACCAAGTCTTTCATATTAAATTGTTTTAAAGTTTTTTCTATTGGTTGGTCTTTTCATACGGCTCTCAGAAGTAGGTTTTTCTTATAGTCTTGCTTGACAAACTGAATGATATTCTGGTGCATTGGTTGAATCAGTGCAGTGCAATTTGGCTGAAGAAACATCGCAGTGATGCATTTATCCTCAGTTGTTAGTTCTTCTTCAGACGGATGACCGGGAGCGTTATCATGAAGCAACAACGCTTTTTGAGGAAAATTATTACCATTTTCTAACTTCAGGTACGAAGCATTCATCAAACCAAATTTTGAAAAGGTCTTTTGTCATCCATGCACTTTTTTGTCCGTAATACTGAACAGGAAAATCAATGTTTTTGAATGCCCGTGGTTTATTAGATTTCCCAATTACCATCATCTTAAGCGCGTGTGTGCCCGCAGCGTTAGCACATGGTAGTATGGTTACACGCTCTTTACTTACTTTTCGTCCAGGTACGGATTTTTCGTTACAAGAAACGAAAATTCTGTTAGGCATCACACGCCAAAAAAGCCCTGATTCGTCTACATTGTACACCTGTGATGGGTCAAGATTTAAATCGTTCACCTTTTGCAAAAATCTTAATTTAAAGGGCTCTATGCAGGTGGCATCGTTAGAAAGTTTCTCTCCTGTAATGGTCATTAAACATATGCCATGACGACTTTTAAAACGTTCTAGCCATCCTTTGCTGGCCACAAAATCATCATTTTTAGTTATTTCCTTATAAAAAAACTTAGCTTTCATGGCCAACATTGGTGCATGCCTATTTGATCTTGATCTTCTTGTGGTTTCTTTCAATGTCATAAATTGTAGATCGGCCTACGCCGTATTCACTTGCTAAACTACTGAAAGTTTCATTGCGATTTAGGCGGTCTAAAATATCACATTTTTCTTTAATTGTCAATGTTTTGTGCTTTCGCTTCTGAGTTTGTGATGACATTGCTAGGTACTATACTTAATACACAATGAATAAATAGTAAACAATGAACGCATGCTAGACTGTACCGCTATCACCAGTAGTCAAATTCAAACTAAGTAAAACAATGCTTACGCGTCGAGCACGATAGCGGTGGCACATACAAGTTGTAACCTGTTCAAACCTGAACGATCTACATTACAGGGGGGCGCCGGATTAGACAGGGGCCGGATTATCGGGGGTCCACTGTATACCCAAAAAAATGATTTCATAACAAAAACTTCATTAGTTCTTACCTTTGTGAGCAATAAGTTGTGAAAGAGTTGTATAGAGTGAAATAAACTGCAAATGGTATTCGTGAACTTGTAGGTCCCAAATCAATGAAGGCAGCAGCAGAAACATCCCAGCGCTTGACAATGTTATAGCTTTGCTTATTTTTATTAAGGATGTCTTCTCAATGGCAGTAACGCTGCTACAGAGGCTTGTTAGTAGGTAAATCATGAGTACAAAACTGACTTCACTCAGTGTTATATTAAGGCAGAATTTATAGAATTCTAAACTGTCAAGATATATTGTAGGATCAGGAAGGTTTGGTTCAGTTATATTATATTGACCAGCAGCTTCGTTTTTGTTGAACATCACCCAACTAGAGTAAGACTCAACCACTAGAAGGACTATTGACAACTTCCAGAAGTTCTGCAACAAAGTGAACACCTTATTTATCTTGTAGGCCTGAAGATTTGTAGCTTTACACACCTTGAATTCTGTGTTGAACAGAATATGTCTATAAGCTCCTGTATTAAGTAAAATCAGATCGATTATAATAATCACTGTATCGTATTCTACGTATTTGTCAGCTATTCTGCCACATATGTTCTGTAAAATAAAAAATAAAACAGAAAAAGGAAAAGCTAAGGATGAACCAACATACACAATCGGTTAGTTTTAAGACAGTCTCACTGTATTTTTTATATAGACTGAAAATACGGCTTCCGCAATTTATACAGGTGTATTTATCTTTCATCATAACTAGATATCAATTAAAAATTGTTCAAATCAGAATCTATAAATATTTCTCCAAATTTGAATTTTCACGCCGATTTTTTGACAAGTGGATATCACGTTTTAGGTTATACGCTCATAGATCAAATTGTGTCTTAGATATTCAACCAACACGTCACAAAAAGAAGTAATTCAAATGGCCATTTTTATATTTCCATAGACCAGGTTGTGACTTAGATTTAATCTCGGTGTGCCAAAGAAGGCAAGTAATACTAGCAGCCGTTTGTTTTTCTTTCTTTGACGATTGAACTTGTTTCTTCTATAATAAGTGAAAACATAAGTTGAAAGAGTCAGTTGAGAAATGCGAATCCATTTTTCTTAATTAGCAAAAATAATTTGGAAAAACTGAACTACGTAAGAGGGAGAAAGGAAGAAATGAATAGAATAGCTTTACATTCTGCGTTTGTCTGCTCTATGAAGTGTAGTGATTTTCTTTTGTTGACATGGTGAACTTACAATGTCAACAAATCCTTTTAAATTTTGATTTCAAATCGATCGATCAAACAAAAAAGGTGCTTGCTATAAAAATGTTCGGGATCAAACAAAACGAATGCGTTGGATTCGAATCGAGATGGAAAGTGACAAAGTAGGAACCTGCTCTATAATAAAAAATACAATAAGTAATATACTGCTATTCTAGAGTGAAAACGGAAAGTTCAACGCAAACATCAGATTTTCATCAAACGAAAAAGGAACAAATACAGCAGAAAGAGCATGCATAAACGTAAGTCGTTGATAAAAATATATCCTCCGATAAAACCTTTTTTCTAAAGGGGCATTCACAAGCTTGGTAAAAGCCTCTGCGACGCATCACAGAAATTCATACGCAAGCAACCATTTTGTTGCTTTGTGCATTTTTCTATAATTTTTATAATAGAGCAAATGCACTCGCGAGCGTTTGGATGGTTCTCCAAACTCATCCAAACGTTTCTATAGGTTCAAACTGACAACACAGCGCGAGAGGAAACAGCAGAAGCAGATATGGAAAGTCTAGCCTCGTGGCTAGGGAAATCTACCCCAAAGTGGAGAAAGCAATGGATGAATGCACCACTTCACAGGCGTTCAGAGGGTACAGAATGCAGGGTGATTTGCAAGACGCAAATTGTAAGCTTTTGCAAAGCATCGGCGTTGTGAATTCTCTCGAGGGTGGTAGCGGCGATAAGGTATGTGTATAGATACAGCTATAGTATACAAGTTACAGCTTGGACAATAGCGCCATCTCTGAACCAGCTGTTACATCACATCAGAGCCAAATATTGACAGCTGACGCATCATGATGCTTATGCAACACGTACAGCTACGGAACGAGTACACAGTACACATCGGGTGGTGCGGTATAATTCTTTTAGAAGATTCTGAACTGACCCAGCTATATCCCGACGTATTACCGAATCAAATGTATTTCGTGAGCGCCAAAATAGCAAACCGAAATTGTGCGATTTTCATTCAAGCGACAAGGATTTTTGCGCTTTGGATAAGGGAAGAAGAGGATATTTTTTATTATGAGCTAAACACCTGAGTTGTGGCTTAGAATTCCACCGATACCCATTATTTCTTTCGACTTTTGCGATTCAGATTAATAATTTAAGACATATTTTTTTTCAGTTGATCAGAATATCTGATATCACTTGGAATCAAACAGGCAAATCTATTGCAATCTCCTGTAATTCTGAACATGATTCCTGGTGCCATCATGCTGGAAATGTTGCGATTTTCACATTGAACAGGTAGTTCACATCTTGTATTTTTAAATTCATCTTTTATTATCAACATCCTCCTGAAGAACGGAAATTTTATTATAGAGATTGGAAATTACCGGAAGCACCGAGACAAAAGTTGACAACGGAAAGTTGTATCACGAGCCTAAAATTTCATCCAATTCATCCTGCAATCATTGCCGCAGGAACATTCACTGGTAATTTATTATAAACGTTTATAGGTATATTTAGATGAAATTGCTGAAAACTATCCTGTGCTTTTTATGTTCATATAGGACTCCATTGTCTGTCCAAATCGAACCATATATGATTAATTCCTGTTTACTGTACGGCCAAACTATGAAGTTCTATTTTATATTTTCTTAGGCAGCGTAAAAATTTGGAATATTCAAAACGAGGAAGAAGAAGATTTCATTAGGAAAGAAAACGTGCATTCTGACGCAATCACTCAAATATCTTGGGTAGAAGATGTTGATTTGTCCAAAGATATTTTACTCGCGACGTCTAGCACCGATGGGTATTTGAAATTGTGGAACTCTAAGACTAGTCCTTTTGCTTTGAGTTTGAAAGTCAGGTATGTGATGGGGCTACAATGGAGAGTTGGAGAGGTATCAAGAAAATAGTTCGACAAAATCCAACTCAAATTTTTCAGTGCTTGCCTTCACCATTGGGGTATTTTCCAAAATGTTGATTTCGACAAAAATTCAATATTTCGTTTCTAAGATGTGTATCCTAAATATTTTCACACTTTTCTATGAACAAGAGGTAGCAAAACCTACCCTCCAAAGTTCAAACGTGAAATTTCTCGTCCAAGCTGTTTTTTAGGCTTTAAAATAACGTGAGCTTACTTTTGCCAAGGAGGTTAGAGATACGTCAGATACGATAAATATAACCTTTATCCTATGACATTGACAGCTTGACATGAATGTCTGCGATGTCCAAGTTCAATTTTACCACCGCTAGGCAGCGCTAGTGTGGTTGAGTCTAAACTGTTGAAGGTAGACGGGAAACAGACAAATTTGATGGAGATGTAAGCTGTTTATAACCTTAGATATGACAGTCAATCCAGCTGGCGCCATCTGCTTCTATGTTTCCAGATTATATCCATTGGATGGTTCTGTGTTGGCAACTGGAACAAAAATCAAACTATATTGGCTGTTTTCTTTGACAGGAAATACAGAGAATTTATTATTAGTTTTTTTACCTTATCAAGGCTTTTTCTTAAATTTGGATCAATCACCTACCTAAGCCTAAGATTCCTTTATATAAAAAAATGGTGTAATGAACTCATTGTTGCTGGGTTTTCTTGTTTCTGTCACTTAGTATGAATACGTTTTTTGAAACGCACGAACCATAATAATGAGAATAAACTATCTACATCCTTTTTCACAACTGGATGTAAAAAATTCACCATTATCATATAACTATTTTTTAGCTTCAAGATTAAGATCCCCCTATTCGGTGCAGCGACAA